TCCTGGGAACATCTACAGCAGTCCATTAAAATGTCAAAATCCGTGTTAAACATTTGAAAAAATAGTACTGGATACAACACATTTAAATCTTAAATATATGCATATATTATGTGATAAAGATATTTTAGAGTATTCCACAAACCTCTGCAGAGCACTCAACAGTAACAGTTTAGTAACAGTAAACTATCAGTAATAGTTTGGCACAACAGCTGCCTTTTTATTACAAAAAAATAAAACCCACAAATCCAAAACAAAACAAAAACAAAACAAAACAAAACAAAAAAACCACAAACCAAAAAAAAACCAACAAGCAAACAAAAAGAACCCAAACCCCACCACGACAAAAGCTGACAGGAGATGCAGCAAGAGGTGCAAGTTGCTACTAATGCTCAGATATGAGCATTACTACTCAGAGACTCAGCCTCAGAGAGTATTTATTCCTAAGAAAGGGATTTAGGATGAATTTTAAGGCCAGCTCGTCCCATATTCCACACAACCCTGCAGGTCTCCCCTCAAACACCTCAGCATCGTCCTGCTGAAGAGAAGCAGAGTCCAGCAGGCTCAGGGCTCGGGTTGGGTTTATTTATTTGGAAGCCTGAGGTTTATAAACACTTCTCTCTGCTACCGTGGCTCATGTGGCACCTCAACACCATGGCAGGATTTATTAACCCAGCCCAGGGCAGCTCCAGCCCCATTTCACAGCACCACCAGATCTAACACACACCAAGTTCACATTAAACCCAGCTCTCCAGAAGGTGACACAAACTCCTCCTGACGCTGAATATTTCAGAGCAGGATGTGGCAGCTCACTGGCCCAACTGAGGGAACATTTGAACACCTGATTACCAAGTGCACTGAATTAAACAGGACCAGCCCCTGGCAGCTGGAGAGATCCAAAGCCCTGTTGGCACTGATGGAAGAGCAGCAGGGATGTTCCTCCAGCAGACCACGACACCTGGCTGAGGGATTACCAGCTACAAAAGGAAGAGCTTTTTTTTTTTTTTTTGTTCCTGTACCAAAAAAGAATTAATATTTCACTCTCTGAAGCACTAATAAGGGAGAACACACAGAACAGAGATTATCCCAAACCTCATTAAATGGATATTGACTATTTTCCAGGTTCCAGCTGGTCTGACAACAGCCAGAGAGCAACACTAGGACCGAGGGAACCAGGCAGGGAGGGGGAATTGCCAGCTGTGCTGAGTGGGAACAACAGAAAAATAACCTGAGAGTCTTCCCTTCTTCAGAGAAGAGCTATTTAAACACAGAATAAGGGGAAAGCATTACACAGAAAGGAGGAGAGCTGAAGATGCTGACACTCAGCACACACACAGGCAGCAACAAGCTTGTCAAGCACTGCAAAAAGGAGGATCTATGTTTTATGCCTTCCCCCACCACCACCCCCAAAAATGAAGAGTTTCAAGAAACTGAGGAGAGCACAGACTGGAGACAACCTATTTAAAGAAAGACTAAAAGGTCAGCTGAGAAGATAAGGGATGCCTGTGTCAGGAAATGCCCTTGAGGAGAGGCACAGGAAAAAAGGAACAAAAGGTCTTATTCTGTATTGTGCTGCACAGAATGGGGCAGTGCCTATAAAAAGATGAGAATGCCACGAACAGGAAGGCAAATCCACCCATCCCAATTGCTGCCTGACCCCTGTGCTGAGGCTCTGGCTGCAGGGGATCGGGGTTTGTGTGACCCCAGGCTGGACCCCACAGCTGCCTCCTTGCAGGACTGGGATGAATGAAGAGGAAAATGCCCACGAACTTGAGAAGCAAACAGAGAGTGCCCTGAGCTCTGTTGGGCACCATCCCCCCAGGTTGTAGGTTAAGGATATGCTCTAAAAATCACCTAAAACCAGTGTGAGGCTTCCCTGGTGCTGAGCCACGGGAGTGCACCAAGAATAACTGCTGGGAACGACGCAGGGCAATCAACCGAACCCGCACGGCCACGACAAGCAAGGCACAGAAAACGGCACATCCAGAGAGCCAGCACGACCCCAGGGAGATAAACATTTCACCTCAATAACACACTGCACTTGTTGGGGCTGTGCAGAGGTTTCTCTGCAGCAGCAGGACGCCGTGGGGAGGGAGGGAGGCAGCTGCCAAGGGAGAGCAGCAGATAACGCGCCGCTGTCACACACAGGGCTCTGAAACCCTCCCTCTGATAGACAGCCTGTCCTTCCCCTCCCAGAGCTCTCCAGAACGCTCCCCAAACCACAGATTGTGTGTGATGGGCAGGGTCAGCCCCTCAGTGCTGAGGAGACACAGACCCTCGTCAGCCGCGAGGCTGAAGATGTTGGGCTCCGGCAAACCCAACGTTCAGCTCCACGTTTTTTGGGGGAAACTCAGCCCTCCCTTCCCTCTCCTCCTCATCCTGCCGATGAAAAGCAGAGCTGCTTCCCCTGGACCAGTCCCAGCCATGCAGTGGGACCCAGAGAGCCCAGCCCAGGTGCCCCCCTGGCAGCACAACCACACCCAGGGGAGGAGGATGCCCGTGGGAGCTCAGCTGGTCCTGGGAGGATCCCCCACTGCTCCCCAGGGCACACACCGAGCCAAAGGAGGCCTCTGCTGCACGCAATTAATAAACATCTCCGTGGGGAGAAGCTGCTGGGGGACTGAGAGCCAGAACTGACTCTTCCCCAGGCCAACTCCACATCAATGGTGAGAGGAATGGCTGTGGTCCCACAGAGCCTGTGCCAGCAGAGACTCTGTTAGATTTGAATCAACACTTGCCACAGCAGGGGATTTTCAGCTGCTCTATTTAAATGCTGAATTTTCTTTTTTATTTCGATGCTTAACTCATAAAAACTGAATTTATTTGGGTTGGGTGCTGATGCCTGCAAGCACAGCTGCTCACCAGCTCTCGCTGCTTGCTATGTAAATGCACGAGAAGAGGATTCAAAACCTTTTTTGTCTGCCCAGCGTCAGGATTTGGGTTTTCTTTCCCTCTTACTGCTGCAGTGATGCACCCAGAGAGCCCCAAACCCCCAGCACCCTCCCAAAGCAGAGCACAGTGGTCTCACGTTCTCATCTCCAGAATTAAAACTCTGCTGTTTGTAATCCCTGGATTGTTTGCTTTCACCGACATGTTATTCAGCTTAAGGAATGTTTACTAAACTGAGCCGTGGGAGCAGAGCAGCCACGGTGCCACAGGAGCTTCCAATTCCTGGCAAACTCACTGATCCAAGCCGAGTTTTAAGCCATATACACTTTAAACTCATTTAAACTACGGATCCAGACCTTAAATCCATGCTCTCCTAACTCACTTCGTACCTCCTGTGTGCAGAAATGAACACATGTGAGCACACTTAATCTGGGTGTTCTCAGAGCTGCTGGTGATGGGATGTGGAAGCCTCACTCCCCCTGAACAGATGGCAGGAACAGACATTTCCTCCCAACAAAACTTCATCCAGAGGAATCCTCTGCAGAGAACCTCCCTGTGAGGTTCTGATCCCGGTCCCTGTGTGATCCCTGTGCCCTCCCTGCTGTCCCACCCCACAAATAACTAACTCAATTAAAGGATTAGCCATGAGAGGGATGGTGGCAAACAGGGAATGGCTTTGGGTTTTGGGCAGATAACATTCCTGACCTTGATGGGACAGTCCAACCCTTCCCAAGGGACTCAGACACACTGGCATGGGAACACAGGAGGGGCTGCAGTCTGCTATCCATTTGTTTCCAGCTCCCATTTCCAGGCCCGTGCCCAGTGTGGATTAAACAAACAAACAACAATCCCAAATTAGCATCTACTTTGCATCTAATGAACCACAAGACGAGCTCCTTTGTCCAGAGTTATTCCAGGCCTTATGTTTTCATCCAGGGCTCCATCCAAACTCTTAATGAAATAAATTCTTGGCTCAGAAGCACGGGTTTGTTGCCAGCACTGGGGCTGAAACCTTCTGCACTTCTCAGCACCCACAGAACAATTCCTGAGGGGGCCTTTGGGGCTGTCTCAGCCATTTCCCATCCCTGTATTTAACAGGGTAGGTTGTTCTTTCACTGGGAGGTACCAGCAGAGTTTATAACCTTGAGCTCGGTGTCCCAGCCCAGAGGCAGGACTGATTTAACCTGGTTTTAGCTTTCTAAAGACACTGAATTATTTCCAGCAGCCTCTTTACCTTGATGGGCCCAGAATTAGCCTGAGCCTTTATGGGAAATGTTATTGGCCAAAGCAAATATGACCTGTTGAGATTTACAGGCTTTATTAGCAGCAATAACAAGTTTACTATCAGCATCAGTATATCAGGGTTTATTGAGAACTCCACCATTTCTAGAAAATGTAGAAAGCAATTAAAATGTCATTTTTCCACTGGATATAATTCTTCCATAGAAGACAGAGCCCCTGTGTAACTAATGACACTATTTTCAGTGACATTTGCTCAACGCTCTCCTCCTTAACTAAAAGACACACATTTCTTTGGAGTTTATTTTTCCTTGCTCCTTTTGTTCCCTCAATTAGAACAAACCCCAGTGATGGTGGAGATAAGGGGCAAAACCAACTTCTGAGCGAACCTATTTGTCTTCCTCAGAAGGTGCTGAAGAGCCTGCAGAGTGCAATTAGAAATACAACATTTTCTTGTTGTTTTTAAAGCCTCTGTAGCAGATTTTTAACCATGGCCCACTTAGAACATCTCCCTGCAAGAACAGCCTGGCCACGGCCATTTTAAGGCATCCCCATTAGTTTCCTGTTAAGATTCGACTCCCATGACAGAAAGCATGTTTAAAGCTAAGCAAAAACCCCCCAAATTGTTACCTGCAGCAGGTTTTCTCTTCTCCAGCAACAATTCATCACAGTATTTTTAGGTCTGCCTTCTCCTTTGTTTTACTTTTCAAGGAGAAAAGCGACCCCTGAGAGAAACGAGCCACAATCTGGTTCGGGTTTTGGAAGCGCAGAACACGAGAAACTGTCTCAAAACCTGGACTTTTCAGCAAACTCTCCAGAGTTTGGGTGAAGAGCTGAGCCCCTTTCTCTCCCCCCCTGCCTGCCCAGGGCCTCACCTCGGCCGCAGGGACCCCCTCGGGGGGTCGGCAGTGCAGGACGATCATCCCCTCGATGGGAACCTCCTTCCCCTGCGGGTCTTGCTCGAAGTTCTTCCGCAGATCTGCAGGATTTAAAGCGGTCACTCACTCAGCAGAACCTCTCCATCACCCCTCCAAAGGGTATTCCTGCCCCGAGAGCCCTGTGCTGGGTTCTCCTTTCCTTGATTCTGTGCTAATGTTGATTTTTTTCCCCCCACACAGATAACCAACATCTTTTCCAGTCCTCTATTTAAAAAGTAATTCGTTAACGGTTGGGCTGCAGCTGTGCCTACAAACGCCTTTATTAGGATGAAAAATGGAGCAAGATCCATCTTCTCATTTTCTCTGCCTTCCCCAGTATCACACAGAAACACTTACCTGCTTTTTCAGAGAAATATTAACAGTGCTGCAACGCTCTGGACTCGATTCACAACTCAAGAATCTTTGGGATTTAAGTGCAAAAGGAAAAAAAAAAGGGAAAGAAAGAAGTTGTTGGTTCCTCCCTGAGCACCCCAGAGGTCCAGCCTGCCCCAGGCTCAGCAGGGAGGTTGTTCCCCACGTACAGGATGACACAGAGCCCCAGGCACTCAGAGCTCTGTTCATTTGGGGGGGTTCCAGGCACCTGCTGCAGCTCTGCCTGGAGCTCTGCCCAGCCCCATCATCTCTGCACTCAGGAATTGCTGCTCTTCCCATAAAAAGCCACGGCTTTCAAGCACAAGTGGCCCCAAAACAGGCAGCAGAGGAGCACAGCTCCCAGCCACCCCCAGAACGTTGCAGGGCTGGGCTGAAGAGCCTCTGGGAGCGGGCAGAGGTTCATGGGATGGGGGGTGGCAGCTGGGGGGGTGCTGTGCACAACTGGTACCACAGTCTGAAATCCCAGGACGGCTCCACCTGCTCCTGCTCGCTCTGAGCTGGACTCAAATTGCCATTTTGTGGGGTTGGGGAATCACAGCACGGAGGAAAGTCAATAAAAATTCAATTCAGATAAAGGCCCTTTGCAGCTCAGCAGTGCAGGGGAATTATTAGCTCAGTGTTATGACAGTTAATGCAGTGAAATAAAAAATTGAATTTACACGTATTTAGACATTCAAACTGAATCAGCCAACAAAAAAAAATTAAAAAAAAAAATCTTCCATTTGTAAAACGGAGGAGTTGTCACATTCTCCTTTTTACTTCCCTCAGATGTTTATTCTGTTTTAGATTCATTAAGAACTGCTGGAACACCACCTGGAAGGAGGTCACCCTTCAGAGTTTCTCACTTGGACCTCCCCAACCTTTTCCTGCTGCCCTCATCCCCTCCCAGGAATCATCTCTCCCAGCCCTCTGCTGGCTGTTGGCTCATTTCCTAGGACTGCAAAGGGAAGAGCTGGGGTGGTGATTTAAAGGAAAAGGGTTTACAGCAGTTTGGGGGGAGCAATTCCCTGAATTCTCTGCTGGCAGCACTGCTGCAAAGATGGGCTTCAGGCTCTGATTCTGTTAGAAAAACATCACAGATCTAATTGCAAGGTCAAAATTGGATGAGGCTCTGAGTAGCTCCACAGCCTCACAGCCACAATTGCATTTGGGTCCTGTCTCTTTTCTGTCCCTCTGGCTATGGGGGCATTTACTGCACTGTCCTTTTCTGCACCTCCCCAGCAGGGACGTGCTGATTGTGAGTTATAAGCCCACACCACCCATCACAGACGTGGGGAACGGAGACAAGGCGAGTCTGGGCACTGAACATCAACTCTGGGGCTAAAGAAGTGGAACGTCACCCACCTTGCCCAGGAGTTATTTCATTATCCTCAGCAGTGGTTCTGTAAATGTCTCCATGAACAGCACTAACATTACTTGTTTCTAACCACTGTGAGCTCAGTCCAGGCAGAGACACCTGAGTTGCCACGAGCTCTGGCTGGGACGAGTTTATTCCTCCTGGGATACTCCCAGGGTGTCCCACAGGGAGTGCTGGCAGGGACAGCAGTACCTGAGGAGGTGGAGGGTGGTGTTTAACCCCACAAGAAGCGTTTCCCCCCCCCGAGCCCCCAGCAGAGCTGGCACTCACAGGCGATGCGCACGGACGCCTTCCTGCTCTTGGAGGTGCCCAGGTGGCTCCAGGCCACGCACTGGCACCAGTAATCCTCTGGGCCGTGGAAATCCTCCACCTGCTGCCTCGTCACGTTGATGAAAACCTCCCGGACCTTCAGCCCTGCGGGGAGAGAGGCACAGGGTGAGCAGGGACGGCGAGTCGGACAAAGTTACCCAAGGCTCTCCCCTTAATTAACAGTCCCATTTTTAATCAAGGAGAAGCTTTAATTACTTTGACAATAATATATTGCCACTAATTAAATTCTGTAAGATGAGTAGCTACGTTGATTACACACCCACTGTGGCCTCTGCAAGCGCAAAACACCTCCCTCAGGAACCTCTTCTCCGGTGCCTTCCTCACCCAGAACGTTCATCTGGAGCTTCACCACACACAATAAAACTCTTCTGATCTGACATCCCCGTGCCCTTGACAACCCTCCTCAAGTACAGGTGAAGTTTAGCACTGTGGCCCTTCAGACCAGCAGCATTTGCTTGCTCCAGACGAAGCCTGATGGTAAATTCAAACCCTCAAGAACCTGACACCTTGTCTTACACACCAGATCTGCAACTACCTCTGTGTGACAACCCTGGGAGGGGAAATACAACCCAAATCTGGGCTCAGGGGCATCAGGAATCATTTGAAAGAGTCAGAGAGACATTAAAAGAAAACAGAAAACATTCATGCCTTGTACTTCCTTCTTTCTCCTCCTCTGCAGTCCCAAGACACTTATTTCCCCTTCACTGGAAATGAAGGAAAGCTCAATCCTAAAGTATTTCATGCCTGTGAAGTTTATAAAGCAGCAAGAATTCTAAGCCTGAACTCCATAAAAATTGGCTTCCACTTAATCTCAGGCATCATTAACAGCTGGGCATTCACTTCTCAAAGGCACTGGGATGCCAGTGTGGCAAACAGGAGAGAGGGGCTGCACTGGGGGTGCCCCAGAGAGGGGCAGGGGTGGTCAGGCAAGCTGAAATACTACACAACAAAGGGGATTTCTCCCTCTTTTCACTCAGCCTGTTTGGCCTCACACCAACACCCAAAGACACGGACAAACCTTCCCCAGCTGTCTCAAGAATCACTTCAGCCACTCAAATATTTATTCCCTCTCTAATAAGCAAACAGAGGTTTCCTGGATGTTTTTGTTTACGTCTGTTTTTTCCCACGTCGATGCTGTTTTTAACAGGACTGTTTACAAACACTCCCGTTTGTTTCCTGACAACAAACCCTCAGCAAACAAACCCAGCCCTTGGGAGCGGCAGCTCTGCCAGAGACCCCTCCCTGCTGACACTGCCAGGAGGATGCACCATTTAACCAGCCCAGCTGCCCTGCCAGAGATAAATCCCTGCATCACAGCGTTTTATGGAGCGATCTGGAAAGGTTTAGGTTTAGACAAGCTACAGTAAGTGCTCCTGGAGAGCATCTGACAGCAGGTCTTCACTGGCTGCAGGTCTGGCATCCCACCACCTGCAGCCCCTGAGGGATCTCAGTCAAAGCTGGGGAACATCAGAGCTCCAGAGCCCCCAAATCCACAATGTCCAACCAGGCCACCACCCACCTACCTAAGGACTTCAGCAAGGGCGTGAAGTGATGAAGAAGTCCTTGACAAAGTGACCTTTCCAGGATGGCCTGACTGCAGCAGGAATCACTCAGCCAGCACTCTGGAGCTGACAAGCCCCTCTGGGCATTTGGGGAAGCAGCAAACAAAGGTCTGAGTGCAGGTTCCTGGTGCCTCCACGCTGACAGTGACAGAATTACTGACACCGACCCAAAAAAAGTCGTCACGCGACGATGAATTTTCGAGAAGCAGGAGCCATTTCCTGGCTCGTGGGCACTGCACATTTCTGGGCAGGCGTCAGTGAATTCAGGCATTTACAGCTCTGGATTTATTAAGGCAGAATATTCTCCAGCCCAGCTCTTCCTCTCATTGACGTGGTGTTTAATTAATCTATAAATCAGCCTGCATTTAATGTGGCAAACAAACAGCCCATGATTTGGGTGGATCAGCGTTCTGAGAACGGGCTAGGTAGGATTTCAGGTCCTTTTAAAGGTCTCCCAGGTTACCCACAGACAAAATAAATGCATCCAAAACAGCAGAATCTCAGAATTCTTGGGGCTGGACGGGGCCTCTGGAGAACATCGAGTCTTTGGGGAAAGTTGTGTTTTGTTTATGGAGAAAGCAGAGCTATTTTCATTTGTTTTAGAAACAACTACAGAAAGCAAACCTATTGGGAAGAGAGGAATATTCTTCATTTATCATCCCCGTATTTCACCACCAAATACATTCACCTCCCCTCTGCATCTTGAGAGACACCAGAAAAATTGTTCCTAGGAAATGACACCGAATGAAAAATCCAAGCAAATAAAACCAGGCACATCATAAACAAGAGCAACATTTTACCTGTGACTTGAATAACTCTAATAAGCACTGCAAGTCCAACCCTTTAAATTATTGTGCAAATTATAACCATCATCTTTTGTTTTACAGTACAGCCGTACAGAATATGAAATTATGGCTGTGGCACTGATATGCTAATGAGCTTTCTGCTCTGCTGGATGGTTTAGCTGCAGATAGACTAATGCTGGCAGCAGATGAATAATTGCTCTCCATGTACTAAACACAACAGAGCTGCAGAGAACTTCAGCATTTGTCAGCTTTATTTGTTTAAATGAGAAAAACACTGACAGCAGTTATTGCTGTAATCCTTTTAGTTATCAGACAAGGAAACTCGAGTTACTCTGGGCAGGTCTGATGCTCTGGCAAAACCAAAACTTGAGGGTTTGGGAAGGCATTCTGAAGTGCACGGGCAGAGCTCAGGCAGGAAAGAGAAAGCAGAAGGAAATTAATCAAATTGTAATTATTATTTTTTTTTTTTATCACAGCAGCATCTCCAAGCTCAAGCTCTGGCTTGATGAGGCAGAGGAGAGAGACACCAAAAGTCCCTGCTCTGCCACGTCCAGGGAATAAACAGGGAAGGCAGATACAGAGCAGCAAATCCACAGCAGAGCCACTCAGAGCAGACCCTTCCAGACATTCCCAGGTGGCAGCACAAGGCACGGCCCAGAACTACAAAAAATTCCTTCCTCTCCTGCTGTCCCTCCATTTCAGGTTCCCAGCACTCTCCTGTGCCTCCCTGAGATATAAAAACAGAACCATGGAAAACTGGACTCTGTTCACCACGATGACAAACCCCACACACACACACACTGTGTGTCCCCCCATCCTCTGTGCAGAGCTGGGGGACACCCATCAGGACACGGTGCCTGCAGGTCCCCCTGCCAGCAGCTCCCTGGCAGGAGTTTACAGAGGTGCCAAGACACGTTTCTTTCATTCAGCACTGCATTTCCCCTTGCTTGGGTTCCTTGTTGCTGTTTTTCACCGCTTCCCCCCAGCATTTTAATCCCATCCAAACAGTGGAAGGATGGAGGGGGACAGATCCTTTTGCTGCAGCGCAACCTCCCCTCAGTGAGGGACCAGAATCCCCCTGCAACCAAAAGCACGGTTTTTGGCACCAATCCCAGTGCAGTTTTTCCAGATGGAGCTCCCCCAGCACACAGAACACTGTGTGTGCTTGGGAACAGACATGTTTATGCCCCAGATTCGACTCCAGGAAGGAGAGCCCTGCCAGGATGCACATTAATTCCAAAAAACCCAGCAGTCTGCTGTTTACTGAAGGCTGAGCTCCAAAATATTCATGGACATGGATCCATCATGGTGAGGGAAGAGCCATGGCTGTCCCTTCAGCCCTGCACGTTGCCTTTACCCACATTTTTGTGTCCTCAAGGACGGTTCAGGCAGTTTTGGGAACTCCCAGACCCTGCACTGCCTGCACCACACCTGTTTTGAGAGACCAACCCTCCATTCCCTGGGCTAAACCCAAACCTGCAACATTCACATGGTCTCCTGGAGGGTGTCCCTGCAGGGGTTGGAACGAGGGGGGCTTTAAGGTCCTTCCAACCCAACCCCTGTCATGGTTCGGCATCCCAACCCCATTTTCTCAGCCTGTGCCTCCACCTCTCAAACCTCAATATTACTGGTATCATCTAAAAAAACCACCCCAATATTACTTTGTTTTATTCTGTTATTAATCCAAGGTTTAGGAAACATAATTGCAGCATTCACAAGCCACGTTCTCATCAGCCATATGGAAGAAAAGCTTTTAGGGACGACACTTCTCCTCTATTGATTCAGCAGTGCCTGCAGAAGTAAAGGTTATGCCTATTAAATTATTTCTGAAAAGGTAGCTGTAAAAATTAAAATTCTTCCAGACTAGCATTTGCAAAAACCTTTGGTATGAGATTTCTTCGGAATATGTCACTTAGAAAGAATGCCAAACACCACTTTAGGAGATGCAACTTCTTTTTAAGTGGCATTTTTGCCTCTAAAAAAAGGAATTTCTTGTATTGCCAGAGAAGATGTTACACACACACACACACACTGCTATTCCAAGGCTGGAGTTGCCTAGCAATCCTGGAATTTCAGGAGAGGAGAAAAGCAATAACAAAACAGAATTGTGAAGTTACAGGCGGCGCAGCATTAAATTGGTTTGCAAAACTTATCAAGATGCTGCTAAATGAGAAAAGATAGAGGGGAGTGATGGGACCTGATCAAATCTGATGATCATTTCCAACCTTCCCATTCTCTTCCCCTCCACACACACTTGCACTCAGTGCATTTCTCCTACTTTGTGTTATTCCCACCCAAACTCCTGCACTGCCTGGGGGGTGAAGGCAAATCCCACTGGTGGTTCTCAGGGCTCAGCCCGACAGGAATTCCACAGGAGCTGATGTCCCCACCTCAAATCCCAGCACTGAAATGCGGAGAACCCCTCCCTGTTCCCTCCAGAACTGCTCCAGCCGTTCCCTGGGTGCTGTCCCCGGTCCCTGCCCCAGCCCTCACCGGTGGCCTCGTCCAGGCTCTCCTCGGACACGTGCTCGTTCTGGTGGACCCACTCCCCGTTGCACTTGAAGAAGATCTGCATGGCTGGCTTGGCCTTGCAGCGCAGCACGATGGGGTTGCTCTTGATGATGTAGGAGTCGTCCGGCTCCTCCATGAAGTGCGGGAGCGTCCCGGGGGCAGAGGGGATGGACTCGGGGAGGGCCTCGCTGTTATCATTGCCTGCAGGGGAAGGAAGGGAAAATACAGATGTTTCTCATGTTTTTTTTTTATTTTTTTATTCACATTTCTCACCCTTTGTGTCATCTCATTTCACCGGTGAAACACCACTTTGGAGGTTTATTTAAAACTAATTTAAAGAGGACTCGGCAGCTGTCAGGTTGCGCTTTGCGAGGACACACACGCAGAATCAAATAATTTAAGTGTAAGAGCTGTCAAGAAAACTGACAGAAAGGAAGCTTCAGAATCGTCAGAAACTGCACCATCACAGTTAACAGTTTTACAGACGGAGAACTGAGGCAGAGGAAGATTAAATGAGTCACCCAGGGTCGCCCAGAAAGACTGTGGAAGAAGGAGACGCTAAACCTCACTCCCTGGAGTGACAGCCCAGTGCCTGAACTACCAGATCTCCCTTCCTGCCACTGAATTTAATTTCCTTCAGACAGCTGCTGCGGGTTTAAGAGGGATCAGTGTTAACCACGGAGAAACACAGATATGAAGAGCTCACTGCAGCCCTGGGACAACCAAGCTGCTGGTTCATTCCCTCCCAGAGGAGATTCTACTCTGCTCCCATTGCCTGCAGCCCCTAAAAAGGGAAAAAGTGGTTTTTACAGGGCCAGAAACTGCAAGGTAGTGAGTGTTCTGAGCCTCACTGTCTGAATTCCAGAAGCCCTGGAATCCAAGCTTTTCCTTCACCAGAACTTCTCATCAAGTCAAACCTGGGAAATTCCCACCGACTTTCAGCAAGGCTGGAATTTATCTCAGTAGTTTGTCATTTTTTTTTTGGAGAAAATTCAGAGAACAGCAACAAAAATAAGTCAGGAGGGATTGATTTGTGAAGGAAGATTAGAAAGCACTGAACACACCCAGTCAAAGGATAAGAGAGGAGGCGTCTGAGCAGATGGAGGAACCCAGGATCAGAGAAGGGAAGAGCTGAGGGCACCAGGGATGTGACTGAACCCAAACAATGAAATAAAGTCAGATGAGAGGTAAGTTATGAAGTGAGTCTAAAAGCCTTTCCAGGTCTAGTGGATGGCAGAATAATGAGAACATACTTTGTCTTTATTTCCATTAAAGCCAGGTCCCTGTCCCTCAGCACTCCGGGTTTCTGTGTGTGCAAACACTCTGAGGGTGTGCTGGGAAACCACAATGACTTTCAAACGAGGCCAGTGGTTTAAACCACGTTCTCAGTGTAGTTTATGGAATATTATCACAAGTTTTAGTGTTTTACTTCAGAACATTTATGCCAATTTCCATCTTGTCAATCTGCAGTAATGCTGCGTCCCTGCAGGCTTTATTAAATCTGTGCTTTAGAGGAAATAATAATAAAAAAAATGTCATTATAAGATTTTTGGAGAGGCTTGGAAATCCCACACTGCCATCAAGGCTCACAGTGTTTCAGGAGGGTGTGGGGGGAGAACTGCAGGCAATTCCAGGAGGATCACTCAGCTGGAGAACTCGGAATGACCCCGCGCCATTCCACTGAATTTGCTATTTAGGGCAGGACACCGAGGATGAAATCCCAGCCCCACTGAAACTCAGGGCACTGCATTTAATGATCTGCCTGCTGCTGGGTTGTTCTGGGCTGGGGAAGCGGCTCCTTCCCCAGGAAAAGCTTTCACATCACGAGGTCAGCCAAGGTGCCTCTTTTCACTGAAATGGAACTCCATTAAGTGCCCTTGAAAACCAAACTAGTGCAGGTCCCAGCACACACAGGGAGAAATGACTCTCTGTCCCCAACAAACAGACAGATATTACTGTATTCTGCTCCAGGGTCAAGTCCTAAAACACGTAATTATAAGGCTATTACTGATGTTCCATAAATGCACATTCCCAGATAAATAACATTTCCTCTCAGGTAACTGCAGGGGCTGCTGAGCAAAGCAAAGCCTCTCCCAAAGTGCACTTAACACCTGGAATTTTAACTTAATGCCTCTTCCTTTTGTGCATCATCTTTCTCGTACCCCAACTTGTGTTCAGATTCACCTGAAAGCATCTGGAACGTTCCAAGGGGTCTGACTGCACATCCCTGAGGTTTTTTTCCTGTCTAACCCTCAGTTTTCAGCGTTCAGGCCGTTCAGAGCTATAGAAAAAGGGCTCTTTTTCTATAGGGAATGACAGAAGAGCAGCCCCTGAAACACAATTCTTGTGGTTTTCATTCCTGGGAAATTACCTTTCAGGAAGTGCTTTGTGCTTTATGCTCTGCACACGGGGCCAGCAGGGACTTTAAATCTTTTTATGGCAATCACAGAAACAAAAAAGAAAGGAAGGGGGAGGGAAAAAGTTCAGAACAAACATTAAATTCTTCTATGAAATAAATAACCTGCTGCTGTCAGACCACATTAGAAAACGTGGACAGCAGCAGACATGGGTGATTCAGTATTTCACAACTGATTAGGGTATAATTTAAATGTTAAAGTGACATTTTAAAACAATGAAGAACTGAGTTCTAAACATCTTTTTTTTTTTTTCTTCCGAGTTAGAAATTGTTTAGAATAAATAAGTAGCATTATTCTTTCTATATTAAAAAAGAAAAAAAAAAAAGTGTCCCAAGCAAGCCACGTAACTCGTAATAAATGTAACAATAATATTGTGCAAAGGCTTTTCCCAGGTGGGAACATCCCAACCCCTCCTTTGGACAGGCCCACTCGTGAGCTGAAATACACCTGAAGATGACCAGCATTCCAGACACTCACATTCTTCCCTCTCCATGGATCTGAGGCTGCTGATTCCCGTGGAACCCCCCCAAAATAATGCCAAATACCCTCTGCACGTGTGCTCAGTTTTACAGGGAAGTGAGAATGGAAAAAAAAAAATCCACATTGCAGAATCCAGCTCTGCCTTCAGGAATGCATTTTAATGCCTCTGCCACCCAATAACACAGTGCTTTTTTTCCTGCATGTACCCTACAAGGAGGAACCACCTCCCCTGCTGTTAAACCCCCTGTCTGTGCCTCTGGGGAAGCTGAAGAGAGATGGACCCTCCCAACTCCTCCTGCTGCACTGGCAGGGCTGGAAACCACGCCAGCCTCAGTCAACCCAGCACTCACAAGGGCAGGAGTAAAAGGGAGCACTGGAGGGAAATCAGGGATTGGGTAAAACCACAGCACCCAACGTGCTCCTTTCTCTATTTCACATCTTTGTCAGGGCCTCCCAAACTTCCAGCACGTGCTGAAAGTCACAAGTGCTGCAGATACATCTCAGCAAGCCAACCTCTGATATCAATGTCTTTGCTTCACCAGCCCCTCTTGCTTCCCATGGATATAAAGGATAAACTTCCAGCAGCTGCACCATAATCCTTCTCATCAAATATTTGGGCGACAGGTGGAAAATTGTTCTGCCAGCTGAGGAAGACAAAATCCATCCCTCCTGGCAATTTTCTGCAGTGAAAACTCCAAAAAAATGAATGTGCAATAAGTTGTGGCAGCAAATCTGGAATATTATCACACAAAGGCAGTGTGCTCAGAATCTTCAGCTGCAAACTCACCCTCCTTATCTGAATTTTTAAAGCACCTCCCTCCTCCTCCCGCGGGCACGGGATGAGATGCGGAGCTGGAGGCTGCCACTTCAGACTCTTTAGTTCCACACCTGGGCTCTCTTCCCGTTTGGCTTTGCTCTGAAATGCACTGGGGCTGCTTGGATCACCCTTTTGGGTTTGTTTTTTTTTTGGTTTTTTGCAGGAGCAGGGAAGTCTGACACCAAATCCGGGGAGCAGGAGGGTGACAGTCCCTCAGTGCCACGGAGCACACACGGGGTCCCTCAACCCTCCCTGAGCAGAAAAGCTGTTTGCCCCCAAAACATTCTGATTTCTTGTGGTTTTTCCCACACAAACCCTTTCCCCCCCAATTTTTCACTGAAGAGCAGCATCAACATTACCATCCAAATCCCTCCACTCCCAAAATCCACTGGACAAGGACCCCGAGACACCAACAAAGTGTGGCTGTGCCTGTTGCTTCAGACACACAGAAGGATTTTTATTCCAACACAAGCAAGGCCATTTTCTCAGCCTTCATTTATTCCACCTGCAGCTCACAGCCCTCCTCCAGGCCCTGCTCACACAGCAGCACCGTCCACCTTGCACGTTCACTCCTACCAGGTGGGATGAAGTTTGAAAGCATCACAACCTTTCATCCACAGATTCCAGCCTTAATTCCTCTTGGTCAAAAGCAAAAAAAAAAAAAAGCACTTCTGCAGCTCTTTGCAGGGCTGCACTTCCAGCTCCACGGAATTCAGAAAAGGAACTTGCCACCAACCGCTCTGTCAATGGGATATAGGAGGGGAGGGCATTTATTTTCCCCAATGAGGATTAATATGTTCATAAAGCATTCCTGGTCTGTTCTGTGCCAACAGAGATGAATGTGTATCCCATTGTAATCCCTTATGTATTCTAAATTTATTTATATCTAAGTTATACATATTTATAAAAATGATATATTACATTTATTAAATATTAAGTGGGCTACAAACTTGAAGAATCTTTCGTACGTTCATGCATTTATTTAACATCTAGATTTTTTTTTTTCTTTCAGCAGTGTGCAAGCAATATAAATCTTTAAAGGGAAAAAAAAGATCCTCCAGCATTCTAAACAGATGGATCTGCAACCAAAAAAGTTTTCCAGCCTGTGTGAGGACTATGAAACTTCTTCTGCCCTGCACAGTAACCTTGGTGCCACTCAAACTCCAGTACCAGTCACTGTCAGGAGGAAATTACGGAGGGGAGAGCAGTGATGTGGTGCTCGTGTCTGAGCAGGCAGGAGGACAACTCCAAATACAAAAGGAACTTCCCCTCCCACATGCCCTCTTTTTTTAGCCACGTTTTTTTAGCCAGTTACCACACACCGGAAGGTGGAACAAACCATGAGTCACTGCCCTTCCCTGGGCTCGTTGAAAGGTCTCGTTTCAGAAAGCACAAAGGAAATTTAGAACCATGGGATGCCCTGGGATCAGGTGAAAGCCCTGGCAAGGAGCAGAGGGAAGGGGAGGTTGTGTCTCTTCCCTCCCAAG